GGGGGGGGGGCGGGTAATTTTCCAAATACCCCCATATGCAAGGAATATGAGTGTGAACGATATACAGAAAACCAATTGGGCTTTGGGATGTCAGAGTTAGTCTCGGGTTCTAAGCTTGGCTTTGTATGAATTTTGGGAAAGCACTTTTCTAGGGGGAGTGCTGCCGAAATTTCTGCAAGACTAAGGAGTTAGTCAAAACTTGTTTAAGTTGAACTCAAGTTGCCTTGTGAGTTCATATCTGACCTAGTATAAATCTGGGAAGTCTCCCTTTCTAAAAGGAGTGTTGTCCAAATTTCTACTAATTCAGGGAGTTAGATAGAATTTGGCTTTCCAGAGTTGGAGATTATTTATGTTCTCATATTTGGGCTGATATAAACTTTGGAGAGACACTTTTCCTACGGGAAGCGCTGCCGAAATTTTCTTGATTTAGAGGAGCTAGATCATATTTTGACAGATGGCGATATTGGCGATCCACCCTGAATAGGGGAGATTCAACTAGGGTCTGCCTTTGCTTTGGGCACCGCCTCGAGGAAGATTTAGGCTTAGCTAGCTGGGAGGATTTGAGTGAGAATATGTTATGGAGTTGTATTCTCCATACGCTCATGATCTCAGCTTGGGGATTGGTCTGTCATGTGTTACATGTCGTCTTGATCGTTCGATTCAAGATCAAGACTAGATTCAACTTGATCCCTGGAGGATCGTCTTCTGTTTTCACTAATAACAGGTCGGTTGCCGATTCGTCGGTCTTCGACTCAATTTCAATCCATTCCCCATACTCAACCTAAAAGGCTTTAGCCCTGGTGGTTTTTATTGTTTGTTAAGGGTTTCACCCGGACTTTTATTGAATGGCCATTTAACAAAGGGTACTGAGTATTTAATTGAGGTTGGTTGGACTGGCAGTTGGGGCTTGCATGGCTAAAGCGAAGGGGTATGAGCATAGAGGACTCCGGCCTTGCAATATTGAATGGCTGAAGGAACTCATCGCGAGGGGTTACCCCTCACGATATTGAACGGCTGAAGGACACGTCGTTCGGCCCTTGCAACATTTCCGCCCTTCAGGCGGAGTGTCCCGTCGGCCAAAGTAAGCAGGCCCTATGCAAGGGGAGACTCCTCCCCTTCAGGGCCTGAGGCTTGGGATATCCTGGACAAGGACCGTGAACCCCGGCCTAGGACCAACGTCCGACCAAGAAAGCCCCAAAACGCAAATAGGCAGAGGGGAGGGTCTTCCCTGTCTCTCAATCCCAACTCTCACGCGGTTGTTAACATGGCCTCTTAGGCCTCCCGAACACTCATCATTCGTATATCCACGCATACATGCGGAAGGGGGATAGAGTTATGACGATCACTTCTCACAGGCACAGTGGAACTCCTCACAACCATGTATGTGTATATGCACCGAGAAACCATCCATATAGAGCTGTTACGATCTTGGTCATTCCCAAAGTGCAAATTCACAATGAAAGACCATGCCACCCAACTGCGAAAGAAATGAAAGCATTTGCAAAGAGATAGAGACCAAAGAAGAGAGAAAGAAGAAGAAGAAGAAGAAGAAGAAGAAGATGTACACCAGCAAGACCAATGACAAATCCCCCTTCTCTCTCCACCTTCCTCCTCCTCCTTCACTTCACCAATCTTATTCTTCTTCCAATAATAATAATAATAACAATGAGTGGATGAACCAGAATCAATATCCGAAGTTCCCTCTTACTGCTGACACAACAACAACAAGTCCACCACAACTATGGCTTCCCCCTCTTTTCCACCTCTCACATGCCTAGGCTATGGCGGACTACTGAGGGCTCAGCCCTCCTGTGCAAACTCCTGTCCAAAGGACAACCCAAAGCACCTATGTCGCTGCTGACTTAGCCGCCATGTCTGAATCTGCCTCCAGCACTACCCCGACTGAGGCCTTCCAGATCATCGCCCAACAAGATGATAAAGATGGTGTCCACCATAGCCAGGTCGGTACCTCGCCACTCTCCTTCTTCACCCCCTTCTTCCTCCTCCTCAGG